TGTAGGCAGGCCTAGTGCGGTTTCGTGAGGGTTTACGACGTATAGAAGCATAGTTTGTCCTTATACGATCAATACTATTTTGCGGACCCCACTAGCGCACAGGTTAAGATCCACATGCACATGGGAATTTATCAAAGTTAGCAAATATGCCCTCATGTGTAGTCACAGGAAGATTGAAACAAGACACCCCAAGCAGCGCACAATTCTCAAGAAGCTCTGGGGCCCTGAAATCCTAAACCACCTACGTAAGCCCTTAACCCCTGGGTCCTTGATGATTGTCAGGACCGTTCGCGCGCAATAAGCTGACCTCCTGCCGGCTTGAGGACCCCATTTTTCTGGCAAGCCACCTGGAAGAGCTCGGTCCTTGGGCGGAGAAATAAAGGGGGGGGTTTAGGGTTTAGGGGTTGTCTTTGGGATCACGTAGGCTTAGAAAGCACAGTTTTCTTGGGCTTTAAACCCTTGATCCTCAGAAACCATCCAAGGGCATGTAGCAAAACGGCAGTTGACATGGAGGGGGTGTCAGTATACGTGAATCTTATAAGAATAGGCGTTCACATGTAAGTGAAAGGAATATGCATGTACATACTGCCTACATCGTACGGGCAGGGCAAGTGGAAATATTTGCTTCTCAAATTCTTTTCCTTAGTGGTTCATAGTAGGGAATAAGAGAATATAATCCCTATATAATACATTCCCCTATCCCCTACTCTGAACCCTAAACTCTAAACCCGAAACCCTATGTGCGTATATATATATATACATATATATATATATACAGATGTATATACATATTTAATATGTCTTCTTGCATTCCCCACTAAGAACCCGCGAAATTGAGATGCCTGGCCTGAATCCAAGCTCTTAGCTTTTGGGACTGGTGATCAAAGCTCTGTAACTTGTACTAGTTGCCCTAAATAGGGGACCCCAAAATAGAATTATCCTTATTATGGGGACCCCCAAAAGGTACGACAAGATCTTGCTTAAAGTGCTTCATCCCCCCTAAATGCCCCAGCATCATCCCTACAAAGAGGGGGCGTTGCAACCACGACA